GAGAAGAAAGGAGAGTCTGGATTATTATAAGTTATAGCACTTAGTCTTTAAGCATCACCAAGATGAAGCATTTAAATCCAATTATTTTTTAAAAGGATATTTAGTGTGGCTATATTACGTTTTTCACTGTACGTCACACACACACAGACACAAAGACTAGAAACCACTTAAACCTTTTATGGTATTTGAAGGTCTTATATCTGAGCATTGTGATTACTTATTCCGTAAGTGAGAAATGATATATGTTATTCTTGTCTGTCCAGTGATTAATTACACGCATACATATACAGCAATTTTTTAAAAAGCAGGATGAAATAACACTGTCTCGTAATACTGCATAAGCTGTATTATACTGAGTTATAAAACTGGAATCCCTGAACAATCTAGTACAGCTTCAGACATTAAAAAAAGTTAAAGCTTGGACTGAACCGCAGCTTCATTATGAAAGGGAGTGACGTGACGTTTCGGATAATATTTAACTCCTCAGGTTTTCTGACTGATGATAAGTCTGGCCTCTCGCGAAACGTCAACAATCTATTCTTCCTCTCTTATTGTAGCTGACACACACAGACACAAAGACTAGAAACCACTTAAACCTAATATGGTATTTGAAAGTCTTATATCTGAGCCTCTTCATAAGAAACTAACACTGTGATTACTTATTCCGTAAGTGAGAAATGATATATGTTATTCTTGTCTGTCCAGTGATTAGTTACACGCATATATATACAGCAATTTTTAATAAAGCAGGATGAAATAACACTGTCTCGTAATACTGCATAAGCTCTATCATACTGAGTTATAAAACTGGAATCCCTGAACAATCTAGTACAGCTTCAGACATTAAAAAAAAGTTTAAGCTTGGACTGAACCGCAGCTACATTATGAAAGGGAGTGACGTGACGTTTCGGATAATATTTAACACCTCCTCAGGTTTTCTGACTGATGATAAGTCTGGCCTCTCGCGAAACGTCAACAATCTATTCTTCCTCTCTTATTGTAGCTGTTTTTCATTTCAGATTTGTTGACATGTTATTGTGTTTACATTCTTGTTGATTACTTCTTTCATGTATGTATATGTATATGTAAATATATACGTGCATGAATAAATAATCAATTAAATAGATAAATAAATGAATAAATATATATGCATATACATATAATACATACATACATACATACATGTATACACACACACACACACACACACACACACACACACACACACACACACACACACACACACACACACACACACACATATATATGTATATATATATATATATACATATATATATATATATATATATATATATATATATATATATATATATATATATACATATATATATATATATATATATATATATATATATATATATGAATAAATAAATAAATAAATGAATAAACACACACACACACACATACACACACACACACACACACACACACACACACACACACACACACACACACACACACACACACACACACACACACACATATATATATATAATATATATATATATATATATATATATATATATATATATATATATTATACATTATTATCATAATAATGGTAATAGAGATACTGATAATAATGATGATTATGATGAAGTTGATGATAGTAATAATACTAATACTAATAATAGTAATATAATAATGATGATGATAATGATGATGATCATAATAATAATAATGATAATAATGACACTGGTGATAATGAGAATAACAACAACAATAATAGTAATGGCAATAATAATAATAGAAAAATTATAGTAACAATAATGATAACGATGATGATGATGATGATGATGATGATAATGATAATGATAATAATGATAATAATGATAATAATGATAATAATAATAATAACAATAATAATAATAATAATAATGATAATAATACTAACAAGAATAGAATAATTATTAGCATTGTTATTATCAACATCATCAGCAATATGATTATCATTACTGTTGTCATCCTAATTATAATTATCATTGTTATTATTGTCATAATAATAATAATAATAATAATAATAATAATAATGATAATAATAATAATAATAATGATAATAAGAATAGTAATGATTATTATTATCATTACTATCATCATCATCTGTATAAGTTAATGTTTTCATAATCATTATTCTCATTACTATCAGTTAATAATTCAAAATCATTTTTATCAAACATTACTCTGAAGGAAGAGACTCTGACAGCCAGACACCCTTTTTGCATGAACACTCATGCAATGTCCCTTCATGCATGAGTGTATGTATGCGTATTTTGTATGTGATTGTGTGTATCTGCGTGTGCGTTGGTGTGTGTACATATGCTTATTTAATTTGCCTGTGGCTGTGTGTATTTGCGTGTAGATGTGTATATGTAATTTGTCTGTGACTGTGTGTATCTGCGTGTGTGTCGGTGCGCGTATACGTGCGTATGTAATTTGTCTATGACTGTGTGGTTGTTTTAAGGTTAATTACAAACAGTAAGCACAACCATCTATTTATTCATCACATTACAATAGTTATCCCAATGAAGGCAATGGCGTCAAAAAGCATAGAAAACGGAATCAGCGTTGCTTGTTGTATTTTGCGAGGATTTTTTATCCGCACGGAAGCCGATAGAAAAGGAAGGGAAACGAGAGAGAAAGAAAAGGAGAAGGAATTTTAGGAAATAAGATGAAATGAACGAACTGGAGAGAGAGAGAATCTAGAAAAAAAGATAAATAGAAAAATCATAACAGAATGAGATATAGTTCTGTAGTTACGTGGATTAGCATAAAGACTGGAAAGAAAGAAAAAAAAAACCCAGAAAGAAGGAAGAAAGGAAAAAGGAAATTTCATCAGAAAGAGGAAAGGGAGACAGAAAAATCCTTAGACGGCGCAGCAGAAGAAAACAAAGTCGGTAACTCCAGAATCATCACCTACGTTGGGCTGCTCGTAACGAACCTGAAAGAAAACGTCGAAGTGAGATGGAATACATACACACACTTATTCGAAACAGGCGTACATACATACACACGCATACACGCACATACAGCCCAAAAAAAGATACATAAATTCGTAAACAGAAGCCCATTCATCAGGTATTACATAAACATATATATACTATCACAAAACAAATATACAAAGGCACAAACAAACACACAGACACACACACAGACACACACAGACAGGCACACAGACACACAGACACACACACACACACACACACACACACACACACACACACACACACACACACACACACACACACACACACACACACACACACAAATACACACACACATACAACTACAGAAAAAGATACACACCTTATCACACACACGCACAAATACACAAACAAACACAAACACAAACATAGATCTCACCTCAAGGCCACAGATTGCAGAGCCGGATCCGCAAGAAGTCTGTGCACTCCAGACACCGAGATCAGACTGGGAATGAAAATGCAAAATATATCCTATTTTGTTCGAGAATTATGCCGTAAATGTAGTATAAAGAGTTTGGTTTATCCGGTGATCATATGGGTATTAAAGATACATCCGGATTTGCACGAAATGTTATATATTCATGTGAAAAGATGCTTTTTTTTGTTTGATCTGTCTCTCTCTCTCTCTCTCTCTCTCTCTCTCTCTCTCTCTCTCTCTCTCTCTCTCTCTCTCTCTCTCTCTCTCTCTCTCTCTCTCTCTCTCTCTTTCCCTCTCTCTCTTTCTCTCTCTCTCTCTCTCTCTCTCTCTCTCTCTCTCTCTCTCTTTCTCTCTCTCTCTCTCTCTCTCTCTCTCTCTGTCTCTCCTCCATCCCATCCAACGTACCCCTTTCCCCTATCCCTCTCTTTCTCCCTTCCCCTCCCTCCCACCTTCCCCTCCCTCCCCCTTCCCCTCCCTCCCCCTTCATCTCTTCCCTCCCACTTTCCCTTCCTTCCCTCCCTCCCCTCTCCTCCCCCTTATCTCTTCCCTCCCTCCTTCCCTTATCTCCCTCTCCCCCTTCATCTATTCCCTCCCTCCCCTCCCCACCCTTCCCCTCCCCTACCCCTCACCTCCCCTCCCCTACCCCATCCCTCCCCTCCCCCTCCACCACCTCCCTTACCGCGTTTTCAACTCCGACCAGAGTCTGGTTGCCGTAGTTGCAGGTCAGTTCCAGGTTCACCACAGCGAGGTCATCGGTGAAGAGGCCCTGCTCGGGAACGACCTGACCTCGCATGCCGGTCGCGAAGCCCTTCTCGCAGATCCTCATGCCTTGGGGAGGAGATAAGATAGAGAGGGGGGTGGGGGGGAAGGAGATAAGAGGAGGGAGGTTCTTGGGCGATTCGTGACGTCATTGGGAGAGAAAATGAGGTTTGGGGATTTTAACTAAATAAAATTTGAATATGTATGTATATGTATATGCATTTATATATGTATGATATACGTATATATGATATCTATCTATCTATTTTTATGTATACATATTTAATTATCTTTTAGGCTTTTATTTTCGATATTTTGTAATAATCTTAATCCACAAATCACAACAATAATAATAAAAAAAACAGATGAAACTTGAAATGATATTCCAAGATTTTTTTTAAAAATCAGATGAAACCTGAGAAGACATTCCAAAAAATAATAATAAAAAGAAAACAAACGAAACTTAAGAAGACATTTCAAGATTTTTTAAAAATCATACGAAACTTGAGAAGACATTCCAATAAATCTAAAAAGAAGACATTCCAAGAAAATAAAAAAATCAGACAAAACTTGAGAAGACATTCCAAGAACTTTTAAAAAATCAGACGAAACTTGAGAAGACATTCCAAATAATAATAATAATAATACAAACAAAAAAACATGAAACTTGAAAATACATTCCAAGAAATTTTTGAAAAATCAGATGAAACTTGACTAGAAATTCCAAGAAATTTTTAAAAATCAGACGAAAGAAAACAGCTCCCCCCCCCCCCCCCGAGCGCCCCTTACCTTGCCAATCCCCATATTCCCCGATGACGGAG